TCCGTTCCCCCGGCCTCGGGCCATGCATGCCTGCCAGCACTTGCACGCTGACACTACACAGCATGGTAAGTAATACCAGCCCATTGTTCCCATTTAAAGCAAACCCTAATCCACCAAAAAAAAAAAGTTTTGTTTTTCAGCCAGATCAGTGAGATGATCAGCTCTCCAGGTGGTCACATAAGCACTTATGTTAACACAAGAAAGACAGAAGGTACGTGCAAATGGAGACAAGATCCTTCCGGTAGTAAATCAAGATCTAGTTCACCTTAGGTAAACTGAGTATCTGGATTCTGCAGGGCAGCAGCTGTGCTACTTGCTAAGGAGACTCCTGTCCAGCTTCTACCCTAAGCTATATCTTGTTTTGCCTTGTTTCTATTTGCCAGTGATTTTTTTGTTTTTACTAACATTTAAATATAGATTCTTTTTTTTTATTGTGTGAAAGAACATGCACTGAGAAAACTCAGGCCATAGCTTCACAGCAGATCAAGTTGCAAAAGTCTTTCCAGTCTTCCTGGAGAAGAGCTGAGAAAGAGAGATGCACAAAATTCCTTTGTTTAAAAAAAAATAATCTTGTTAAGACTTATTTTTATTCTTAAAATGGCAATCAAGTCCTTCATTAAAGGATGGCATGAACTCCAGTGGGCACAAATTCATAAAAGGAAAAGCCCAGATGACAATCTCAGTTGGCCTTGCTGGGACAGGCTCAACTACGTCTGTAGGTACAAGACCAGGCCTCGACTCCTGTGTCTTTGCCTATGGAGAGAGAAGTTAAAAGGAGCAGATGCCCGTAAGGACGCCAGCATATGATTTCAAACCACTCGTTTGGGAACTTACAGAGCAGAGCACATGCCCTCCTATACAAATGCCACCAGTGGTAGGCTATTTGCCCTACAGGGCCTCATCCTCTCTCAAGCAATTTAATGAAACAATTGCTTTTAAATTAGTCTCAAAGTAGGAAGTGATTCATCATCTTTTAGCCTAGCTTTCTATGAATATCCTGAAAGGGTACTTTCAGCCAAGATGGCTTCCACCAAAGACTAGTTCAGTGTCCTCAACTAACTTTGAGACAAGTGGATTTCTTTCCTCTTGCCCACAAAGACAATTTAGCCATTCAAAACAGCTCTAATATGCTCTCATTCGGCCAGGAATGGCAGTGTCTTGGAGTAGACAAAGAATCAAGCATTTAAATTGATTTCAAAACTCCGAGGTACAAAAAAGAATAGTCAGAACTAACTTGCACCCACTGCACTAGTATCTTTCTTGCAACACTACTGACTTTTCACCACTATCTGACTAACAAGTTTCAGTCACTGTTAATGTAATCTAAACCTGATATGGTGCCAAAATGAAGAGGTCTGTATTTCATTATGTCTTCCATGTACAAGAAGATTCTGGGTCACAGATGGGATCATGGCACCTCTCACGACAACTAAGTCAAGTCAAAGCCGTACAGTTGGACAGACAGCCTGCATTCCAAGTTGAAATGCCATGTCCTAGCTATAATCTCACCATAAGGCAAAAGAGGTAAGAAACCCCAATTAAAGTCAAATCAGGCTAAAAAAAAAACTAGCACAAAGAGCAGCTGCCATCTTATCCTCCGTAAGCATCAAGTAAACCGGACAACTGGGCAAGACTATAAAATCCATCTTCTTGCCTGCTCAACATTTATATAGACAAATGGTATCTATATAGAAGAGTTCTCGTCAGACAGTTAGCAAAAGCTATGGAAAATAAAAACATCATCATCATAATAATAACAATAATAATACCCCAAAAAATAAAATGACAGCACATCCCAATTCTGAATTTCCTTATTCTTAGTTCTGAAAGTACAAACTAAGTTAAAATCTTGGCCAAGGACATAGGAAGTGAGTCTACATATTCCACAACGGTTAGCAGAAGTACCTTTATATGAAACAAACTGTCCTGACCTCGAAAATAGAGCATTAATTGCTTGGTTAAAATTTTCTCTTAACATACATGTTTCAGTAGGTCCACTGCATTAAGTGGTTTCTCATTTCTACTATGCTGGAAAAAAGTTATAGTAAGAGTATCTCTCTTTTCTCTAAATCTGGAGAACTCTCTGGTAGAAGTGGTATGAGGGTTGCCAAAAGAAATTACTCACCCCATTTCCTGTTTTACCAGCAGCCAAGCAGCACGCTATAGGTCACCAGCCATGCCCAGGGAGAGGGGGGGGTGGGGAAAAAAAAAAAAAAGGCAAGTGAAATTAAAGCTCAAAACTCCAACAATTTGAGAGACTGTTAGCAGAAGGAAAAATGTTATAAAAACTCAGGACAAAAAGGAAGTATTAGGATTTTAATTTAGCTTTTGCTTTAGAAGAGGAAAGATAGAATTGGTGTTTGTTTTTATTTGTAAGATCACTTTGCAATTCACCTCAATCTTATCTGGCTTTAAAAAAAAAAAAAAGATCAGACTGCATTAAACGTACTTTGAAACTTGCTATTAACACTATAATTAGAAAAAGACTTTGACAGCCTAAGTCAAGTGCACCTAGCAGCTATCTACCATACAGATAAATGAAAAAAAAAAAGTGTCTAAATGTCTAAATGGATGGTATATGAAAACTGATTTGACATATAAATTAAAAAAAAAAAAAAGAAATTCAATTATCATCCATTATAAAAAGTATGCAATAAAAGACATACTTGATTTTATGGTAATCAGGAACCCTTTCCCTGAAGACTGTCCCCTTGTTTAAAGCACACCACTTAGTTTAGGAGACATAGGCTGACTATGAGAAAGCTGAGGTACAGAAGGAATAATTGTAGAAATCAGAGGGAGCTTTTAGTACAAATGCTCAAGTTCACTAACAATTATTTATCACACAGCATTTGTAGGAATGGCTGGAAGATATGATCTGAGAATGATGGGCAGATTCAACCTTGAAATCTCCTCTTTCCTTTCCCAACGGCCCTTTGGTCACTCTGTGCAGATTCTCTGTGAACACCACCTTCTGCAGCTCCTGATACACTTCTTTGAGCGGAGGTTCCAAGAAGTAATATTTGCTTTATATGTGTGATCACAGGATAATTCAGAGACCTCAGGAGGTCTCTATCCAACCTGGTGCTTATAGCAGGGTCAGCTATGAAAACAAACCAGGCTCATCAGGGCTTTATCCAGTGAGTTCTTGAAAACCTCCAGTAATGGAGGCTGCACCACTTCTCTGGGCAACCTGTGCTAATGTTTGATTGTCCTCAATCTGTGCATTGTAAATACTTCCTCAAACTCTACTCCTCTCCTCTAGCAGCCTTATATATATAAAGAAACATAATGTAGCATTAGATGTGACACTGCCCAGGAAAGAAGACCATGAACCTTCACTCAGGTGTCCCAGCCAACAAATGGAACTCAGCAGTATAAGAATTACCAATGGTTATAACAAAGGTCAAAAGCAGAATTAAAATTGCCACTGGTATGAAAGGACAATAGAAAAAAACCCACAAAAGTAAGCACAAAGGAGCAATAGCCATCAAATCAGCGCAACACTAACAGACTTGAACAAAATTTAAAAGGATCGAGAAACTGAAGACTTGCAAACAACACTGGTTATGCCAAAAGCTTCCAAAAGGATATCTTTCCTACACTCTGCTCTGGGGACCCAAACATTTTAGAAGTACATCTCTCTGCAGTCTCACTCACTTCTCTTTGTACTGAAATAGGGATTCTACAAGATGATCTATTACCTTGTAATAGCAATTATTCAGCACTTTAGGCTTTAAATTTTGCCTCTGCGTGGGCCAAGAGTGACTGCCATTCCCTGCACCACAATGAAAACCTACCTTACTAAAGTGAAGTGCATTACAGCTAACCAGAATTTTAACTTTGACCTCAAATGGCCTTTCTATTAGGTCTTTAATTAAGTGGAAAAAAACAGTGATGTTGGACACAGGTATTCAGAAGACCCATACAGTGTTTCCATTTCAACAGAATGCCTATCAGTGCAAAAGCAACTAATAAAAGAAAAATTCCCCTCAAAACTTCCTACTACAAAGCAACAACAATAACGTTCACAGTTCTTCATCTGCTAACAACAACATTATAGACTGGCAGGATGCCACTTAACTAATAGAACTGGTACTGTCAATACACAGTCTGGACGCCTAGTCTCACCGTCCTCAGTGAAGATGAATTAAAAAAAAAATCAACCACTGAAACAACTACAATGAAAAAAAAATCAAAATTAGTAGTTTTTAATTTGTGGCCTGCAGACTACTAGTAAAGTGTCAGAGAAAGGTGACTCCATATGCCTGTTGTACAACCACATATACACATGCAATGTCCAAAAGAGTTGGTATCTCAAAAGCAGTGAACACCACTAATTTCAATTCTTCAGAATTTTAAATTCCTTCCCTGTCTTTAATTCTTCATATATGGTGCTTTAAGAACAACCTCCCCACAAACCCTGTCAAAAGAATTACTGTCAGTTGTCAAGGAAATAATTCTAACGAAGACGTTTGAAAACATGTACCAAACTTGAAGGAGCAGAGCCAGGATCACATCACCTTTTCATTGATATCAGAAGGAACCTCATCACAGATCTCTTTTACATGCTAATAGAGGAACTGGATCAAAAAAAAGTCTATTTTCCTATCTTTGGTAAATCTAAAAGAATGAGGGAATCCTAAAAACACTGCTAGAAATTTTAAGGGGAAAGAAGGATGGTGCAGAGAGAACACAAACTTTGTTACAATACACAATACACAAAACAGCACGCTACTGAACAAAATAAATATAGCTGTGTTGATGGAATAGTGTTTACTCAAATCCACTGTGATTCATTATACTGCATATGTAGACAGTATGAGTAAGACTGCTTCACAAAACACCATGAAGTATATTGTAATCTTGTTTGCATAATAACCCAGATAAAATCATAAATAAAAATAGTTTCCAATTGAAAATCCTTGAACATAATTCTGAACTAGAGAATATGACAACCATAGAACCAGGTCTAGAAATCTACATTTGACAAATGCCAGTTTAAAAAATCTCATATGCCTTGATGTAAAGCACATATAGAGTAGGTTTGGTAGTCAGTCAGGTGGCTAATCTCACTCCTGACCCCTGTTTTTTTGGGGGTACAATTCCAAAACAGAGAAAACTTCTGCATGTAAGTAACTATGCTAAAATGAGACCACAGGTCAAATTTCATCTCCTCTCTCTTGACTTCAAAATTGAAAGAGAATTAAAAAAAATTACTTTTCCCCTTCAATTAAGAGGATGCAATAGATTAGGGTACTGTGAGCGCAGAAGCCAAAAGATCCCAAATTCCAAATCACATTCAACCACCAAGCCAGTCAAACCCCTCTACACCTATGCCTTCACTCCCCTGCTCTACTCTCTCCCAGCTGTACGTGAAGCAGGGGATCAGATCCTTCTACTTCATAATTACTTTATGTTTGTGAAGTGGTTTGGAAATGAAAAATGCTCATTACAGAACTCAAGCCTGCAGGGCAATGCTTAACAGCAAATATATTTCTGAAATACACTAGCTCAGGCACTATATTGATTACAAGCTGCAGGATATTATTCTAATGCTATCTGAGGGATCACAGTGGCAACAGTTGAAATACCATGTGCAATCCCAGCCACAGCATTTTTTCACCGTATTAGAAAAGAGCTTCGAGATGGGGAATTCCATGATGAGGTATATCCACAGTCCTACAGGGAGTAATGACTACAGATGCTATTTGCATCAATGTCCTTGTAGCAAGTACCAGGATGATGGATCACAACTGAGACTAGAGACATAGCTAACAGTCACCCTTTTGAAGGGCATGACTCACTTCATATTCTAATATAGTTGTCTAACATAAACTTGGGACTCCTGTATTTATGATTTATTTTAATCAAATATCCTACTTGTGGAAAGAGGTGATAGCTTCTTTGCATTACAGATACAAATACTATGCAAATGTAAATTTTATGTCCCACTCTTCTTCAGCTTCTATCGTACATTTTAGACTTGGCAAGATGACAACCATCATAATTAAATTAGTTGAAGGTAATATTAAAAGGCAGTTTCTGATTTTTCCATTAAAAAGAAGTCAGAGAAAATCTGTGTGTCATACAAAAGGTCAACGGGAGGGAGGCTGTCTTTGGGGCGTCCTTTTATGATAAAATTGCCTATGTTCTTGTACAGTGCAGTTCAAAGAATTAAAAGCAAAATTTAACAAAAGATCTCTTTCCAACACAAAGCATTTTGAGATATTTTGACATATTATATTATTTGCTGCTTTTTGGTAACTGTAAAACAGGAATTGTTTTTACCAATTATTTTTTTAAGCGATAAACGGATAGGTGGTATATAAAGCTCCATGATTTTAAAGAGCTGCTTTCTCCACCATCACCCATTTTCATCCCTTCAGTGAGATCACAGCTACGTAAACAGCTGGTTTAGCATTTGGCAAGACTGAAGGGATGAAAT